AGAGAGAATAAAAATGATTAAGATACAAGTAGATAACTGAGTGAATGAAACAAAAAAGTCAACGCATCATGTGGCATTACAGGAATCAATACCAGAAGCAAGAGGCTGAAGAAAGTGAGTGAGGAGAGGAAGGAAGTCAAAAGGATCCAGAGTAAATAACAGGTAGAAGATTGTTAGAAAGTAAAAAAAAACATAAGAGGTGGTGCAGAGAATAGTCTACTTGACCAAAAGGTGTGACCAGTGTTTGAACCCTGAATGGTGTTAATCACTGCAGCAGCTAAACCTCATTACTCAGCTTTGTTCACTTTCATTTCTTTGTCCTCCTCTACACACTCAGTATAGCGTCCACTCACACTAAACGCTCCTCTTGGTGTTGAACTGCACCGCTCACCTTCCTCCAGCCTCATCCGTCTCCATCCTCATCATCAACTTTTGCTTTCATCTTGAACCCAGTTCATGCAATCCATTTCCCTTTGTGCTTCAGAACAACCCTGCATTTAACATGCTAGCTTGGGCTCTTTATTGGAGTAATATCAAAACACAGTTTTCATTGTTTTGTTTTTCTTTCCTGTAACATTTGTGCCTCAGTTCACTCAAAAGCTCTAAAAACCTACAGTCCTATACCTGATCATCAAAGTAGACAGCCACAGTTTGCTTAAAACTTTTTATTTGGAAGAGGTAGATATTTCCCCTTTAAAATGGGAAGAACACTGGACATACATTCATCCAGTGGCTAGAAAGACAACTCCAAATCAATGCTGAACTTGTTGGATGTTTAATTGTTTACTGTAAAAGTGATTCAATCAATTTTATGTTGACAAATTGTTTCTGTTTCTGGTTTGGACAAAGATTGTGTATATTTGTTGTTGCTGGTGTTCCAGGGGTAAAGTCTGGTTTATTGGGAAGTTGTATAAAGTTGCATGGGTTTCGTATAAAGCTTGAGATTTCAATGACCTCTTGACCTCATTGGGGTTGGCATTACAATCACAATCTGTTCTTTACAGCAGAACTTGTCTTTGCCCAACTCTACTATAAACAGTATGTATTAATTATCTTGTTGAAAATAACTGAAATGATGATGATGATGATGATGAATGTTCTCTTTTCTACTCTTCATCTCTTTGCCAGTAGGATGAGCACATTGACACAGCCTATATATATATATATATATATATATATATATATATATATATATAATACAATGTAGTTTGTTCAAAAGCAAATAAAACTACAATTCTTACAATTTTTAGTGAAACATCATGAGGATTATTCTACATAAAATTTCTGCCAATATTTCCCTTTCACCTAAATCTTACACACTGGACCTTTAATACTTGTACAGCTAAGTGTAAATGTGTGTAGCTAAGTTTGCATTTCTGTGTGCACCTGTTGACTTCAGTATTTGCAAAGGTTACAGTGTCCTCAGTAATTTCAGCATTGGCTTGGTAATGAGCTTTATCCCAGGAGGATAGAGGAGACAGTGAGGTCTGGCTGAGGAGGTGGCAAACGTGATGGTAAAGATGGGAGGGGACTCCAAGGTCAGAAACTCATCACAAAAAGTCACCTTTAACTTTCATCCTAATGCTAACTTTTCCCACAGCATCATATCCATAGAGTTGTGTTAGTCGAAATGGATTAAAGAGACCACATGAAAGATTGAATATGTGTCTTTTCCACTGTCCTCAAGTAAGACAAGCAACCTGGCCCTGCTTCCTCTGTGAACATCATCCTGGAAAAGTTGCCTGGAATATTGATGGAGTGCAGTATCACTGCTTTAAAGTGACTGCACTGATTTGGTCAATGTTAGCCTCCTTTCATCCCGAATAAATCTTGTGTTTTGAAACTAACTGAGTCATCATTTGAATGCAAAGAGCATCAATTAATGTTTGGAGCACTAATCAGAAAGTGACACTGCTGAGCAAGATAATAATATGCACACTACAAAAAGGTAAACTAATGAAGACCAGTCTGTTTTAATGAGTCGTAAGCTGTCAGGAACCTTTATGGGCCTTTTTTTCATCTGATAATCATCCTGGGAGCAGTTATAAAAGCATTTTTAATAAGAACCTTTTAACGCTGGTAGACAGTGCCTCTTTCATCTTATAGCCTGGACTCTTTGCTAATAAGTTCCAGAAAGTGAGAAACTGGACAAATGGAAACATAAAAAACAGCCCGATGCCCCACTGTCGCACCTTTTTTCACTTTTACAGCTTTGAATTTAGTGAGCACAGACTACACAGAGAGAAGATGTGGAATTTATGGAGCTGGTCCCTGCAGGTTATTCCAGCTGGGTAAACAGATGACATTTATTTCATACTCTTGGAATATAACACTTTGTTTAATTGAAGCTAAACAAAGTTCTCCACTAGATGAAATGATTGCACAGTCTGCATCATTTCACTGTGAATTCTATTGGGGGAAAAAATTAAAAAAGTAAATTATTGGCAGGTTAAACAAACTCTCTCACCCTTAAGTGCTGCCACTTCCTCATTGAAGACTCTTGTTTGGACAGAGCAACTTTCAGGGTGCAGAGGTCGCAGAAGTAGAACAGAAAGCTGCAGGCGAGTGGAGTAGATGAGAATCTATAGTCACCTGCTTCGGTCTGTCGTCCCCCCCCTGTGCCAGCTGACCTGAAACCCACTCCAACTGCCCTCTGCCCTGAGCTGTAGGGCAAAGTATGCTCCCTACTCCTTCAATCATCACAAGTGGATCGACGGCCTCAGGCCTGTTGCAGTTTTAGAATGTTTTGTGGGTTTTTTAGTTTGGTTTGTTTGTCTTTCAGAGAGCGATTGAAGTAACAGGAATTTCTAAAGGTCACACTCAATTCACCTCTACAGTTTATGTATGTGTGCATGTGTGGGTGCAGTGACACAAGGGATGGCTAAACCATATAACCTTTTTACAGTTACAACCTGTACACACCCCTTCACACACACTTTTGTTCCGTAACCGACACCATTGAAACCATGCAATGCAGTAAAAGTAAGTTGGAGCATCAGATTTGCGTTGTATCACATTCCAGTCAAACCTGCTGCTTTTGCTCTATTTCCACTATAAACATATTTACATTGAGCGTTTGGTGTAAAATCTCTATGTTCTGTACTTTGTGTCCCACTTGAAGGTTCAGTGTGTAGAATTTAGTGACATCTAGAGGTGAAGTCGCATGTTGTAGCTGAATACTCCTCACCTCAAATGGTTTTAGTTTGTCCAGTTTGGACAACAGTAAAAAACATGGTGGACCCCACAGAGAGGACCCCCCCTCCATGTATCATACCATTCTATCGTAAAGAAAAAAATCAATTCATAAAATTTAGATGAAACACACCAATGAAAACATCAATAGGATTCTTTATTTATATCCAATTTCTGAAAGAAATTATTTCACCTAAATCTTACACACTGGACCATAGACATGTACCCTATGCGGAGCCCTACGCTGTACCCTGACGTGCACCCCCTTACAATGTAATACGTGTGGAGGCGACGCACACTGTAATTGGTCTGCTTGGTAGCATGGCAATTCTGGCAGACTCGCCTCCATTTATTTAATTGAGTTAAAGGAATGAACACTGACATTATCTTTCTTTTCTTCGTTGCACTTCTATAAGAACAATGTATTGCTATTCAACATCTATCAGCTCCAACTCCAACACAATCCGCTTAGTAACACTCGCCATTGTTCTCTTGTAAAGACACGCCAGAGAATTTGTAAATAAGTGGACCAGAAACGAAGACACTCAACACCAGCATGCAGACACTAGGGTTTTGGCTGTGTAATTGCAGCGTGACTCATACACACACACAAACACACACACAAACTATGAATGCCCGGCCCTGTGCGTAGGCTATGTGCATACCTACAGCGTAGCTTCGACGCAGAAGCATGAATTGGGCTTAGTAACGCCTCAAAGCTGATTTGTCTGAGCACTTGACTTTTAACCAAAGCCACTTCCTACTCTTTAACAACGAAAGCACACACAGCGGTGACAGCCTGTCTGTTAGTGAACCTTCTGTTCAGAGAGAGATTAAGGAAACTCAGGAACTGATTTGGCAGATAATAACCTGAAAGACTGTTGGGACTATAATGAGAAAAAAAAGAGAGATGACAGAGCGAGTCTAGACAACAGAAAGTTTTCGAAAAAGCTATACTGCTGTAGGTGATGGATGAGCAGATGAATGTTGGGAAATTAGAAAGACCCAGACAAAAAGAAGTATAGAGGGAAAGGAATAGATTTAGTTTCTGGTACGAGGGCAGTGACCTTCATGACTCTGTCATTTTGTCAGTAGACATAACACTGGCAAGCACCAACAAAAGAGCCATCATTTAGTTGTGTCCTGCACTTACACCTACTACAGTCTGGCCCCTTTACCAAATGGTCTGATTGTGAGTTTCAGCATAAATCGAGAAGCAAATGAAAGTGCTGAAAATGTAATCTGCCTCTTCAATAGCTGTTTTTCAGCTGACTGCAACATTTTAAATAAACTTTTTGAGGTGTTACAGCAAATGAAATGGGAATTGGCTGCTTTTACATAAGATGGAGGTGAATAGTTAATTATCCTGAAGATGTAGCTGCTGGACATTGGAATAGATTTCCACAAGACGAGATGGAATGAGTCAAGAATTAAAAGGATTCAGCAAGAATTGGTTGTGGCTCTTCAAAGTTAGCTGTGTTAAATACAGTGAATAGAATGAAAGCACGGAACACTTGGCAATACTCTTATACAGAGGTGAGGTAAGCCATGGACTGTTAACCCTTCAAAATGAGGACCTGTGACTGAGATGTAGCCGGTAGAAAAGAAGGTGTTGTTTGGAAACATTGGATCTTCCAAGTTTGGATTTTGCTCTTAGAAATGCAGCTTCTTTAAACGTTACCTATTTTCTCTTCAGGAGTTGATTGTGTTCACTGGGGAGCGCCAAAGGCAGAAATCAAGTGTACATGATTTATCATTTTGCTGTTTACAGTACTGTTAATTAATAATTATCCTGTGTCCTCTCCTAGATCCTTGTGAACTCCATTACCCAACCTGCCTTGCTGTATGAGAATGTGGTGGTGAGCGATGGAAGCTCCCTTCTTCGAGATCTTCTCTTCAGCCCGGATCATCAGTACTTATACACCCTCAACGATAAACAGGTATGAGAAGCACAAACATGAACGCTCAATATACAGTGATCCACATCCAGGTGAGGTCAGCAGTGCAGCCCATAATGCATCTTCCAGTTGTCGTTGACAACCATTTCAATTGAATGACTTAAGTTATATTGTAATTTATCTGCTTTGTGGTTTTAGTGATCTAGATATATGTTTCTGTCTGTTGTACACACACACACAAGCCAGTGGCACCGTGAGGGGTTCATGAGGAAAATATATATATAGACTAAGCTAATTACATACATTAAGTTCCACATACCGTCCACATGCATTTGCAATTTTAACAGTATTACACAACCACACACATATACACACATGCACACTCTTATAGTGCTAATTCATTTCATAAATATTAAGTGGATCAGGCTCCACACCACTACCACAGTATACATACAACCTCTGCATAATAATAAGAGTGTAAAAGACTTAGTGTGACAGCTTTAATACATTGAATCAAGCTCAAGAGAAAAAGACTAATCCGTTTTGAATGGTTTTTGATTGTTTGTTTGTTATTGGGAACCACCATGAATTTTAGGCATTTAATTAAATCAGGCTGGTTTATTAGCTGTGTTGCAACATTCACTTTTATTTAATGTCCTGTGTCGGAGTAAAAGCTTATTTAGAACAGAGCATTGTTTTTCAGACAGTTATGTGACAGGAGTTAATGGTTCACATAGTTATCACCCTTTTAATGGACCCATATACTAAAATGGAACATTTCAATGTTTTGTAACATTCTGAAGCAGGTTCAGGTGCTTCACAAATAATTTCAATATGAAAATGCTCAATCCACAGAGAAATTAATATAGTCCATGGAACTTCTGTAATTGTGTGATGTCACAACTATCAGCCCTCAGCCCCACCTCCTGCATGCTCCACCCAAAAGCACCTTCCCATTTGTTTTATAAAACAGTTTTTCTGTTGCAGTGCTATCAAAATATGAATATTGAGCTGCACAATCATTGGATGTAAAATGTTATTTATATAGCGACAAGGATAAAAGATGAAGAGGTCAGAAAGCTAATATGTTACCCACAATGCTAGTGGCCAAAGTTTATTTTTTCTGAAATAACCAGGCATATTTTTCTGATATTGGGCAATTTCAGCACTGGTGTGACATTTACATCACCATTTGCATTTAGCAGTGAATTCGACCGAGCCACAACAATAGGCTGCACCCCATTTTACCTGTGGTTGGCCTGGCTGTGAGTCATTCAGAAGGAGCGGCTCAGACACCAACACAAAACATCCTGATCTCGTCAGTGCTCCAGAGAGAAGTCTGAGATGTTAAACTAATATTTTGGGAGTAATTCTACCGACACACAGACAAAAGGCAATGAAAACATGTTTTGTATTTGCTTGTATGTTATTTAATTTTCAATTTCATCGACCTCATTTCCAATGATCTGCAGCCTTAAGTAAAGTATAGTCAGGCCCCTCATTCCTGAGTTTGATATCAGTTTGTCTAGAGCTGCTCCTCAGCTTCCTCCCTTCACCTTCCTTTACCTGCATGCCTCTCTATCTCCTAACGGTTAATGACCATGATGTGATAACCCTCAGTGAGAATCCCCTGCACGTAGACAGTAACTACCATGTGACTGCTGTGTAATTTACCAGCGATTAGACATAATTGACTTCCATGTGTCTGGATGAGCGCGAAGAGCAAGTGGAGAGTAATTGATACAAATGGACATCGTCTGTGTTGATGTAAGACTGGGGAAATAAAACCCTTCCATCACTGAGCAGTCTCGGAAGCTGAAATATACTGTACAGGGAGATACAGAAATATACATTCAAGCCGAGGGAGTCTACCCACACAAAGACAAACACACACGCACCGATTTAGGAAACACAATACACACACTGAAACACAAAATAATGTATTCACACAAAGAAAGACAATGTTGCATATAAATATAAAATTATTAACATTTACAATTATGATTAAATTGCAACATGAACAAAATTAGAGTCTGTGGAATATGTATGAGTTCCATATTCAAAACACAGCAAGCATTGAGTTTTGGGATCATGACCATAATACAAGATCAGCAATATTACAAAATGTAATAGTAGTAGTAAGTAGTAAGACTGAAGTGATGATTTCAGTGAGAATGATAATAGTGTTACGACATTGGTCCCATGTCCAACAAGCATCTGTGCCTTCGCCAGCAGTGTCAGCAGCTTCTCAGCACAATGAAGAATGCTGAGTACGAAGTCCATGCTGGGAGTATTAGCCCCTTTTCCCTTTTAACTCCTGTCATCTGCATTAAAGATGACTCCTATATCCACCCGAAAGTCCTTTTCAATTATTAAAGCCACTGTTTTATGTTTGATGAGCATTGATATGTTCAATACATGTCCGTGCATGTCACTGCAGTGACTGTGGCAGAGACTCTGACAGGGAGAAGTCAGGCGGAAACTACAATGCTGCTCCGCTCAGAGTTGACTGATGATACAGTTTATGGTGTTGTCTTTCTGTTGCCCTCTAAAACTTAGACTATATTGACATTTTGGGAAGTGTGCTTATTTGTTTTCTTGCAGAGCTGAAAAAATGATATCACTCCCATGTTAAATAAGCTTTAGCAAGCAGGCGATTAACCCAGTTTAGCATAAAGAATGAAAGCAGGTGGAAACAGCTTGCCTAAACAAATCTGCCTCCCAGCACATTTGAATTTTACAGATTTTTTTTCTTAATCCACACAGAAATAGAAAAGTAAAAACTAATTATCGTATACAGTTTTAACTTTTTAGTCAATGCTGTTTTTAACTCAAGAGTTTGAGTAAAGTTGTTTTCCAATATGAACTCTGGAAAATGTCCAAACAACAGAGTGCATCCTTTTTTTTTTGCCTTTATATATAAGCTAGCTGGAGATGTTCAGGGTCAGACATGTTCAGAACAACAAGAACATCTCTGGAGCGTGCAGGTAAGGGTTAGCTTCTGGGTTGAGCATCCAGACCATCAAGCATACGTTTTGTTGCTCAAATCACACGTTTTGTTTTCACATTGACACCAGTGCGGCTCACTCGGACATTACATACAGTTTTTAGTGGGAGGCTGACAGGAGAAAGTCTGGAGCAGCTCACTTGAACTTTTGCGTTCTCACACACAGCCCATCTGGATAAATTCAGGAGATTATCCAGAGTTCAGTGCATGTCTGAAAAAAGCTTTAGGAATAGAAACGTTTATGCTGAACTGTTAGTTGCCATCAGTTGGTGTACTGACGCTGATCTGATCTAACCTTTACAATAAACTTTTCTTAAATATCAATTCAATTAGTTATTCTCTGATGGCAAATGTGAATAGTGGTTACATTTATATATAGTTGCTACTGTTGTATGAGATTTTCTCTGCTTGACCTGCAGTGAAGGCAGTTTTGTCTTTATCTTTATAAATAAATAAATGTATTTTTTAACTTTGTGTAGTTTGGCTTCTGCAAAAATTGGAATCACAGTATTTGACAGAGCAGATCAGATAAAATGATCATCTCTCTGGTGAGCTGAGATAATTGCCTTTACTTAAACGTTGACCAGTCAGAAACAAAATATATGATGCAGAGAGAGAGTGTTGGTGAGAGTTGAGGAGGTTGGGAAATGTAATTGGTTTGCAGGATGTGCTCTCCTCCCTGCCTCATCTCTTCAGTATTCTTGGGGGTCCTCACTTCTGTCTCTCTCAGATGGAGTGAGTTTGTGGAGTAAGTGCTCTCCCAGTAGCAGCTTCAGACAGCATAGTATAGAGTAAGGGTCTTCCATCTGCTGCTGAATGTGAACTTGTGTTCCAGACAGTGCAGGACCATAGGGTGTACAGAGCCTCCCCGCAGCCTGCTGATGAGTAGGCTCTTCCTGGCCAGAGGCTGTCTGTACTTTGGATAATATAGTGGTTTGAGGTCACTGGCCAAGCCCAGGGGTGTATGAGCCTCAGCAATATTTTTTTCAAGCAATAAAAGTATTCAAAACACAATAAAGTGTAAAACTACAACTCTTTTTTCTGGTCTTTGGATATAATTTTAGTTATATTCAACGATCCACTTTCAAGGTGTTTATAATTCCCAAACAACATTAGTGCAGGGATCAGCAATATTGGATCAGTTGTCTTAAGAAGTTTTGAGATGTAGCTGCTTTTTCCCAGGAGCACAGATTTTCAATAGCTGTCAGCAGGCAAGAACATCTTTTTGTGTTGGCTTCCTCCGATCACCAACCACTCAACAGGGTCAGGACCACAGCATTTATTTTTAAAATAAAAGTGAAATAAATGCTTACGATCAGAAACGTTCTCATCTGATCAGCTAATATGTGTGTAGAACAAATCATCTTGCTTTTACTATGAAATCTGCTCAACACTGTGGTTCTATAATTATGTTGAGAAACATAGAGACAGACTGCTGACTCTGCCAAAGCATCACACAGGTAACCAACTACTGTTTTCATCATCAGTTATCTAACCAATAGTTCCTGTGTGGTTGTTCATCATGATACTTGATTGAATCAAGCTATTATTATAAATTATTGTTTTATTCCATCCATTTGTTCAGTTGTTTGGTTTCAAGTAGCAATGCATGTTGATATAAAGTACTTCTCTATATTTTTATTTTCATTGTTAGTACATCCTAGCAGCAACTGGTAACATTTGCATATAAATATTAAATGACCCAGTGTTTGCTCACTGACACAGATGGGAGTGAGATGACTGCAGCAATTAAACATCAGCTTTGGGAGGGGGAGAGGTGAGACGGAGAGAAAATGAAAGAGAGAAGGTGATGGAGATGAGAGGAAGCAGAGGTACTGCCCTCTGTGCCCAGGATAAGATTAGCATCATGTCCCAGTGCTGCTCTGCACAAACAAAATCTTACTGACCTGATCACATTCAAACAATGTGGACAATTACCACACACACATACAAACTAGACCTATCACTCCTGTTATGATTGGATCTCAGTGGTGTGTGTGTGTGTGTCATCATTGTAGCCTCCGTATTTCAGGAG